AAAGCGGCATTTTTAGCAGTCGAGAGTTAATACCTCGGATTAAAATCAGGATACTGCTGTTCGTTTTAGAAAGCTGAACAAGCTATACATAAAATGTTTATGATTCTCACTAATTTTAGGATGATTTAGCACCGCCACCTTTTAACACTGCACATTATCGATGGCAATTAATGTAAAATATTGACGTTCTTAAGAATAGCAAAAATATCTGCACAATCCGTGTACGTATCTCATTTTAGTTGTGTTACTGGAATGCTCTCACATAACAGAAGCAGCTGTGCCAGGCTTCCCGCCCTGAATCGCACAGCTTCGCTTAAAAAAAAATAATGAAAAAATAGATTGAAGGTAACGTTACATTGAAGATTGATCAGTTACCGAGCGATGTGCGAGCGCTGCTGTTCGGTCGCCCTCCTGCATTTCTTAAAGATGCGCCAGTAGCCGTGAAGAAAATGTTCCGTGATATAATGCAGAACAAGTCAGTAGATCACGAGGAAAAGAAACAGCAATTAAGGTATTTGAAATTTACTTGTAAAATGGAGTCAGAAAGAAGTTTAATTGAATAATGCCACTTGTTGCTACTCGCTTCGGGACTTGCACTGCGGATATAATATTTTTTATTTTTCACCTTATTAAGCACGGCAGTTACTTTAAACTATAACAAATTTTGTGCGTTTTTGCATATATGCAAATGCAAAAACGCATATTGACAAGAGGCTGTCTGTGTATGTGTCGGTATGTTGCACTTTTTGTCACCCCCTCTTCAACTCTAAAACCAGAAAAGCCAGAAGACTGAAACTTCAGGTGTATGTGCCTGCACAATGTGCGGCCCTCCCTTTTTAATATCATCACCTGCGTCTAGGTGCCTCGTCGAACGTCTTAAAAATATGCAAATTCTTCGGCGGGAAAGCGACCTCGGGAACCAGAAAAGATAGTGAGCTGAAACTTTACAGAGATATTCTCTGTACAAGTGTGAACTAAAGATTTCAAATTCAACACCTAGGTATGCGTGGTTCTCACATGGGCATGTGAAATTTCTGGCGGTAAAATTACTAACTCGGGAACCAGAAAAGCTAGAAAGCTGAAATCATAGGGGATGCCCCCTATCCAATTGCAACTTAAACGTTTCAAAATCAGCCTCTAGACATGCTTGGTTCTCATGCACGGGCATTTAAAAGTTTCGGCGGGAAAATCCCGCCAGAGATCAGCCATCC